CCACCCCTATCCCCACCCCCACCCCAGGGACGGAGGCTCGCAGAGATTCATCCATCGTTCAGATAAAGCTGGGAGGGAGCGACAAGGGGGCAGGGGACATCGCTGCTGGTTTTCTATTTTTATTGTGTGTTGTTTTTTATTGCCTAGGAAAAAGAAGAGCCTCTGAAGGAGGGTTCGCTGCATGACACTCGATCTGTCTGAGCTTTGTTATTTCAGTCCCAAGAGGAAGCGCCCAGCCCCGGACGACAGAGCTGTGAATGAGCCCACGCAGGGCGAGTGGAGAATTTATTCCAGGCTTTCGCTGGTGACTAGGACACCGTGCAAGGGGTGGGGCTTGCTACGCCCAGAGAGGACCGCCTGAGCGCTTCCTAGCACCTTTACAAAGGATAGACAGACTGAGTCCACAAAAGCTGTCCCTTTGAATAAAGGCAGCCCTGTGGGGGGAAGGGAAGGCCGCCAGCTCCCACTTGCTTCATTCCCCTGGGGATACTTGTCCTGCCCTCTTTCCATTGTTCATTTCTCCTGCCATGTTGACCTTGATATGGAAAGAACAATCGTCTGTGAAAGATGCTTATTTGAATTCTGAAATAAGAAGATCTCCATCCCCTTTTTTAAATCTCTCCACATTCTACAAGCAGCTGGGGTGCTGGGTTTTAGTCCAAACTATATAAGCCAATGAGTTTACTTACAACATCAAAAAACATATAGATATATATTTTTTAATTTTTGGATAATTGAGAAAATTACCCAAAACTTGCAAGTAAGGGGAAGGAGCACGACCTTTTAGTGTCACACTTGCTATTCACTATTAATTAGATCCCAGCCATGATGAAGTTATGTGTAACTTGCACATTTTATTCGATCTGTTCAAAGGAAAAGTTAACCTCAGTGTTTATGGTTTTAATGCACATTAACCAATTTTGCATTTAGCCAGACAATGATTTTGCATCTAACCAAACTAACATTCTTTCTAAATGCCTGTAAATACTCAGGTTCTCAAAACGCTCTTGGAACCAGCTTTACCGTCTTACAGTTTTCCTCATTAATAACTGAATAGATCTCTGATGTGTACCTATATTTCTAAGAGTTATGTTTTTGACTTTTTAAAGTTATATTTTGAAAAACCAAAATTGAGATTTTAAAGAACAGGTTTCATTAAGGTTCTTTGTAAATTTACTTTCCTCTTCAAATATTTTTTTAAATCAGCTAATAAAAGCTTAATATGGCCTTAAGACTTGAATTCTGTGCCCTAAAATAAGTATAGAAATATTAATTCCTTGAATGTGTAAAAAATATATGCTAGTACATATATAGTATATGTTTCTAAACCACCTGCTGTCTCATATGAACTAGATTCCAGAGAAAGGGACATGGCCTATTCACTGTATTCATTATTTAGCCATCACAATTTGAGGTCTGTTCTTTCAGCTTATTGAGAGTGATAAAGGAAAGTCAGCTTTCTTGGTTCCACAGATTCAAAGGCTGTCAGTTTTCAGAAACCACTTTTACTCATTGACTATGGTACTGATTCCAAATGTTCCAATGAAGAGAAAGATGATACTTTTCTCATGCAAACTTTCCCTGTAATCCATTTGGAATGGAAAAGTGTAATGCTTTCAAATGTGAAACAGGACTTAGACAAGTATATGAAATAATGCAAAATGGAATAACAAATGTACTCAATAAATGCACAATAGTATCCACAGAAAAGCAAGAATTCTCAGCAATTCATGAATAGTAGAGACGAAAATCAGGTTTTAGGTAGTACTCGTACACAATGAAAACAATTAGTTAATACAACTGACTATGGCTTAAACCAAAAATATACCCCTCAAAAACCCCTCCTATTTGCAGTGTGTAAGAAAATCAATCACTTTAATTCTTACTTCTCAACCAACACTTGTAACAGTTGTTTTCATCTTAAATCAGGTTTAGAAATTGTCTAAGTGAATTTTCGAATGGCTTTTTAAAAATATGTTTCGCACTATACAACCTGGAATAGGAAAATATTGATGAATATCATACAGTATGTGGTTATTTTGGAGACCCTTGGGTTGACTAAACAGCAGTTCAAGGAGAGTTCTAAAAGAGAAGCAGAAAAATCAATATTGGAGTTTGTGAAGAAGTAAGTTCGAGGCCAGTGTTTCTTAAAGTGGCAGTGGAATTCTAATCTCCAGATTGTTCAGAAAAAAATTTTTAAAGTTACATGGTCAAAAACAAATATTGAAAGGAGGCATATTATAAATTTACAATGCACATTAGGCTGCAAAGAAAAGTATTTCACATGTTGTTAACCACCGCTTCTCAAATTTATTGAAGACCAAGATAATTTTTTGTTAAAAATGTCATCAATTAACATCATGTGTAACTGGGAATTTTGAGAAAAGATTTCCTGATCGTATCAGGAAAAAAATTGCAAATGTTCTTATCTGATATAATTATTTAGTGAACAAATGAATGAATGAATGATGCTTATCACTGTTGCAGAGTTATGAGCATGACAGACATAGTCCCTATCATCATAAGGTTTTTTAGCATAAATTTATGGTGCTTATATATGTATATATAGAAAATATATAATGCATACTCATATTACATGTACGACTTTATTTTATACAATATACGTAGAATAAGGGGAAAATGAAGATGCTAGATTTGAAGATGTTTGATTTGTTGACATGTAAAAAGTTTCCATGTTTTATCTTTTTCTATCAGTGCTCTTAAAACCAGCACCTGAATTTAATACAAATAGTTTCTTTATTATAATTGGAAAAATTTTAATTCTAATGTATTGACTTGACTATGTGCAAAATATAAAATAATAGTGTAGTGGTCAGGAAAGAAAATTCCTGAGTTGCTGGGGTTCAAGATCCACCACTTTTATTAGTTTCAACTTGGGCAACCACTCTATGCTTCAATTTTCTCATCTGTAAAACAGAGGTAATAATGACCTATCTCTCGGGTTCTTGTGAAGATTCAATGACACGCCTGGCAAACAAACAAACAAACAAACAAACAAAAAACAGTCAAGCCTAGCTATTATTACCATTATTTTTATTGTTAATATAATAAATAAGAATATACAAATGAAGTTTGGAACAGGATAAACAAAACTGTGCCTGGGTAGTGGGCTTATAGCTGGTATTTTCTTTCTACTTCCTGTGAAGGCACAATGTTTACATAGCTTTTTTTTTAAAAAAAAGAACAATAAAATTTAAATTTACTTCACTAAATGTGGATGGGTGGCTGTCAATAAAATGAACTTCATCCAGCATGGCTTGTGCTCATTTTACAATTCTTCAGTTTAATACTTGCACATCCCTGGAGCAACAGACAATTCTGAGAAATCACTTTCTGCAAGACGCTGGGGCAAGAAGCCAGAATCTTTACAATGCCAGGAAGTCAACAGAGCTCTCCTCTCCTGGCTTTGACACAATGACTTGTAGCTTCCTGCCAGTACCCTTGGGAATGATCAGGCTTCCCTGCGAAAGAGAGAACTCTTGCCTGGAAGGATGATTTTCCATTAAAAAAAAAAAAAAAAAACTCTTTCTAACTCCCCGTCCTCTAATCTTTTCCTTAGGCCAGCCCCAATCAATACTTGACACCATAATAAGAGAGGCCTCATTATCTGAGTGGTTAATATCTGAGCTCCAGAAGATTCAAAGATGCCAAGGGAAGCAAAGTCATGATACCAGAAATATATATTAGTGACAGACTGCGTATGATATTGGTCTCCATTCAAATATCTCTATGCAGTTACTACTAGTGTATATCAAGTTCACCCTTGTCTGCCAATCTCTCTCTGATTCATCCAACAATAAAATGCAGATACAATGTAAATTGATTGCAAAGTGAAACTTCAGTTTTTGCAAAAGATTCAGGGTTTCATGAAGTCAATGGAAGTGATATTGGAGAATAGCACGAATCACATTCAAAACCAATGACAAGTAAAGTTTTGGCAGTACAACCAAAGAATAAAAAATTGACAAAGATGGTGACATGTCAGTTCCAAAGGGAATGAGTCCAATATC